CCTACAACCTTCTTCATCAAACACCCCATCCTCCCTCATCACTAACTTATGGCCTTATTCTCAATCTCTGCGTAATACTACCCCCTCAACAACACTCCCTCTTCCACACGTCACCATCCTTCTACCACCACTAACCCTACAAATATCTTAAATGCTCTTTTTTGCCCAGCTAAATGGGACCGATTTTTCGTGATCCCTCCTACACTTCTTACAACATTCTTCTCTTTCAACAATGCCTCCAAAAGCAAGTGGGCAGAGTCCCTTTCCGTACCCGACTGATTGTTCCCGTCTCGTGACAGTCACATCAGAAACTGAAGCTATAGCATTATCAAATCTAACTGATCTCTCTGGCAATCCCATTCCTGCAGAACCTCATCCAATACTTGTACTGGAATTGTCTCTATCTCCCCAGCAAGCTGCCCTATGGATATCGATTGGTCTAATTGTGGAGAGTACTTACTCGGCTGCCTCAAGGACCGCGATGTGATATCAGTACAATACCACACCATTACTCCTAGAGGTCATTGAAAGAAACCGACCAACATTGCCAAAATTACTTTCAGTACACATGACCTTCCCTTTCGTATCCACATTGGCGGACAATCCCTCTGTTCGACCACACCAACCTCCCCGTCAACGTCAAAACTGTTGGCACTTTGGACTTCCTGCTAAACACGGCCGCTCCACAGACCAATGACCCATATGCGCCCAACCCGGTCATATCCGATCAAACTGCCCTGCACAAACACGCACACGTGCTAACTGTGGCGGCCCCCATAATGTATTTTATAGAAGCTTTCCCACTTGCAAGTTCAGATACAAAAATGGTCTCGCTATACGTGAAACCAGACAAGAAGCACACCGACAAGGTTTCCCTCATACTCTAGTAATGTCGCTCGCTCTGCCCCTCCCCCTCCACCTCAAGATGTTCCTACACCCTCCCCTATACCTATTTACTTCCCCACTCCCACCACTTCCACTTCTACATTCTACCTCCCCCAATCAAATTCTTTTGCCACTCTAAAATCCAGACACCCCAATCTCACCCCCCCCCCCTACACGTACCGGCGCTTTCACTCATAAAATAAGATATAGCTCTCCTACATCAACCCCATTACCCATCTTCAACTTTCCAAAATTACTCTAGATAGTTGACGCATCAACTGGCATCACCCTTTACTATACCTTCCTATAGTGCTGAATGACTTAAGATGTCTTGCACATTTATTTCGCTTTTAACCATTAACCATTTCTCTTTGCTCGGCTTCCCTTCATCTAGACCAGGGGATCTTAGCCTGGGGTCCACGTACTGGTATCAGGGGGCCGTGAGGATTAGATAAATATTAACGTTACCTTTTTTCATAATTAGCATTTTTTTTTAGAATGTTTTAAAGGTTGATAATAGAGACAAAGCTCAATTACTAAAGTATACCATACACATTGCATACACATTTGTGTATATAACAACATTTCTTGGGAAGGAGGTCCATAACTTTCATGAGATTCTTTAGGGGTTCCGTGACTTTATAAAGGTTAAGAACTATTAATTTTGACTTTCATTGGTAAGTTCACTTTTATTTTAGTGATCACGTTCCTATTTTTTTTTCTCCTATTTACTATGTCCCACTCCCGACCCCCATCGCTAGTGCTTTGACAGAGCTGACATACATATCTTTACCTCTCTCTCTTCCCTTGATCTTCCTCTATCATCCTTCTCTTTTATGTAAGAAATTAATTTAGACATAATCCTTGGGCCAAACAATAAGATTATAACACTGTTATATATACGAATGAAAGAATTCTTTGGTCATTAGACGAGAATAATCATTTTTGCTGCGGTATTAATGGAACCATAGTATTGTGGGAGGAAGGGGTGTAGGGGGAACAGGAGAAGGAGGATGGACGCCGGCAGTCACTTTGAGTGTAGAAGGAATGGGAGCGGAGAGATGGGAGGATGGGTTGGGTATTTTTCTAGGGCCATGATTAGAGTTTTGAAAGAATCTGGTCTTTGTTGGAATAGGAGGTTATTGTCAGAGTAAGGGGCTGTAGCGCAAAAATTCCCATTCTATTTTTTGAATGCAAAATGAACGTCCCATGTATCTTCATGTCACACAAAATGCGTCCAGAGGATGGTCCAGAAAATTATATAAAACAGTCATCTTCCTCAATTGTCTTATATATTGAGTTTCTGCTACTTTTCTGTGAATACACGGCTTTGTTTTCTTTAAAGATCATGATGTCTGAATAAGTTTAAGTATTTCTGTCGTATAGATTTCTAGTAGTAATAAGGCCTTGTAATACCTACTAACACAACATTGGCGAAACACAGTACTTTCAGATGAGAGTTTTCGTCTGACTAAAGTTCTGTATAGCACTATTTTAGTGTGTACGATTTAAGTTATAGTGTAAACATTTCAATACATTTGGTACTACTAACTGAAGGTAAGACTAATATATCCTTTTCGAAATGTATCGTGGTTGTTTACAGAGAACAACTTTATCTAGGCATTAAAGAATTCTACAATTTAACTCACGTAGGAACAATTGTATATGACGAAGTTTGAGAAAGTTTTTAACTAACATTTCTGATTAACTTGTTATTGTTTACTGAATTGGTCGTAATAGATGATGGAAAATGATTGCAATGGGTTAGCAAATACGATAGGAAAGACAAACAAGGAAACCCTGACAACCACTTTTTATAACTATTTTTTTCATCTTGCTGGACAAAAAAGGCGACCTATTGGTCATGTGTGCGCCGACAACCTTATTTCCTGGATTCTCTTTCCCCTTGCCACAGAAGAGAATACGGAACAGAACGAGGGAGAAGCAGAAGTTACTGATTAATACGATGGAGTGTGACAGGCACCACGGCGTATTCCACCGGGCCGGTACTCGAGCCCTGGAGGGCCACTTCACTCTGTGTTGAACTCGAGGCAGCGGCCTGATGAGACCTGAATCTCGGCTGCTGTCCGGTAAATGGCTGTTGCTGTGTAAAGTACTGCTGTTGCTGCTGTGTGAAGTGCTGCTGATGTCCGCCATGCTGACGCTGGTGACCGAATATCGGGGGAAGTGTACCGACCTTTGGCTGCAGTTTGATTATCTGTGACCTGCGTCTTTCATACTGCTGTTGCAGTTGTTGGTTATATTGCTGCTGCTGTTGCAGTCGTTGTTGGCTTAGGAACTGCTGCTGCTGTTGTAGCCGTTGCTGATTTAGAAACTGTTGTTGTTGTTGCAGCCTTTGTTGATTCAGAAACTGTTGTTGTTGCAGTCTTTGCTGATTCAGAAGTTGTTGCTGCTGCCTGAACCGTTGCTGTTGCAGTGCGTATTGGTTCTGATTATTGAACTGACCTTGGCCTTGATTTCCGTATTGGTTAATAAATTGAGGCTGCCTTGAGGACTGTAGGTGCAATCTGCCGTAGTTTTGCTGCTGCTGTGCATTGTATATCAATTCTTGCTTACCAAATCCCTGCAACTGCTGAAGCCTCTGATGCTGATTATTGAATTGTTGCTGTTGGAATAAGTTTGGGAATTGTCTTTGGTTGCCAAGCTGTAGTTGCCTGTTATTAATCTGCTGTAGGTGTCCCAGGTGGCGGTTACCGCCATGGTACTGAGAAACAGAATAGCCTTGCTGTTGCGTCGGGGCAACCTGGAAGGAATTCTGCGATGCGTCTGACACGGGGTTCTGGAGGGAAAGGCCCTGCGCGCTGGGCTCAGTTTCCACGGTTGCTTGGAAGCCCTCTTCGGGATGGGCAACGTACGTGACGGTCCTGCGGGAACCGTCGGGTTCCACCAGGGAGTAGGAGCCACGCACTACCCCGTCCTCCTCGCGGCGCTCCACCTGGCTCTTCTGGTCGCCCGTGGACGCGGCGTGGACCTCGTATGCCCACTGGTAGGGCGCCACCTGTGGGAGGACAAGCAGTGTGCGAGGGTCATGACTATTGTACTAAAAAGTGTGGGAGTCACTGCTTGACTGAGAATGCACTAAATGAAAATGGAATGGGAGGCAAATGCGTCAGTAACATATAACATTAGCGAAAGTCTTGAAAGTGTTAGCATCTCTTCACGGCAATTTCCCCTTAACAATACAAGGCCATAACAGTCGGAGTCAAAAAGTCAGACAACAAAGGGAATGAAAAGCCACGAATTGACGCTTGACCTGCTCCACCGGTTCTTGCGTCTCGTCGAAGATCCTTCTCGCTTCCTCTGCCTCGTTCTCGTAGCTCTCCGCCAGCCTCTCGTGGACGGCCAGAAGACCCTCCTTCGGGAAAGCCCCCTGGAAGGTCGCAACTCCCCCTCGGGAGTCGAGCTGGATGCTGCTGTCTGCGTCAGCGGGGCCGCGGGAGAGGTCGAGGTCCACCTCCTGCCCCGAGGCAACCGCCCCCAGCAATGCAACCAGCACGACCACCGCCTGGAACAGAAAGGGACTGTTCATCATACTGGGAAAGGAAAATATTTCCCCAGGGCAACATAAGCAGCTAGTAGGCTTTCTTACAATAATCTGAAATGAAAGGCTGATCTAAAGGTACTATGCTTGCTTGAAAGAGAGGGCTTATCTAAATGTGAAAGTGAAATGTACCAGTTCATCTGGAATTATTCAGGCTATAAACTCGCTTATGTATTTCATTATGCATATTCCAAAAACAGAGATTAAAGGAACGAATAAACGAAACACGATAATAAAAGTGGTAATATAACAGTAGGAATAAAATTAGCACAATAACAGCAACAGCCTTCATATGACTTTACGAACTCACCTTCATGATGAATGTGTTAAGAAATTGATGCGTCGCTGTTTTATAGGAGCAAGCCGGAACAGGGTGCCAGGTACGATTTTCATCCAATATATTAGATGACCATTTTTTTGTTTTTGTTTTTCCATCTCCTTTTGCTATCATTTTTTTTTGTTTGTTCCATTTCTTATTCAGAATCCGTGATAATCGCGAAGTGAATAAAGAAGTAGGGTAGGGGGAAACAGTGATAAGAGAGAGAGAGAGAGA